CAGTGAGTTTAATGCTAACATGGTGTAATTACAGCTGAGTTTTGAATGCACCGTGCATGTATTATAGGTTTCGGTATGTGCCCCCCACCTTCTATGACCTAAATTCTCAGTTTAAACCCATCATATGATTAGTGAGAGGGCACTGCCAAAGACAACAATTTCAGACCTAAATACAAGGCAACACCAACCCAGTCATGCGCATTTTTAAAGGCACTACATCAGCCTCTGGGGGCAGGGGTGGAAAGAAGGAGGAGAAACAGCCAGCCAGTTGCTTGCTTCCTCATTCTTCCTCTTCCCTTCAGGAGGCACCCTTGCTCAAATTCTCCCATCCATGAGGCCCCCATTGCTCTCAGCCCTTTTCCTCCCTTTTATAAAGAAAAATATGGCTGAGATTTCAAAGCCATGTCCAACCCCATCTTTTTGTCCATCTGAGGAGCATCCTGGGTAGAGGGGCACCATGTGCAGCTGCCCTTTTCGCACACCACTGGGGCTGGCTCTATTCCTCAAGAAGCAAGGGTTGCACCATACAACCACCTGTGTTACCCATGGGAGTAAGGAAGACTGCTCAGGAAGCCTGGAACAGGGCAAAAGTGATGATGGAAACCATGTAATGCTCCAGCACTTGGTTGACGTAGTTCCTTACTCTCCTAAGTATTTGGAAGAGCTATGAACACAGGAAAAAAAAAGGCGAAGACCAGAGCAGTGGGGCTTTAGATCAGCCAAGATGTTGGTAGTTACAGCTCTAGATAGTCAGTCATTGTGTCCACTGCATTCTTTACACTTTCCCATTTGTACTCCTCATTGCTTTCCATTGCCCACAAATATGTAAGGCAGGCACAAATAGCTCCCAAAATAAAGACGTAATTAATTGAACAAAAATGTAGCCTAAGAGAACCAATTAAAATGATGAAAATCTTTAATTTTATTTAAGTATAATTGTACGGACACGTGTATTTACAAATACAGATCTTACGGGGCAGGGATTTTGGGTGGGTTTTGATTTTTTTGTTTTTTTCAACATTTTAAGTTCATATAATGTAAGCATTTCAAAAACAGCACTCAATGAATAAGTGCAAAGAAACTGCAAAGCAGGGCAGTACAAGCACAGGACCACACTGAGCTGGACTTTCATACCCAGATGCATACACAATGAGTGTCTTCAATGGGGTGTCAAGAGTAAGCATGGAAAGCGGATTTCGCAGACTCATGGGTAACCTCCAACATGCCAGCATCTATTAAACTGTACAGACAATGGCAGCAAGCCTATTGCAGGGAGATTTGTCTCACATCTGAGAAGCTCGAGGGAGAATGCATGGGAAAAACTCAGTGATGCCAGACCAGAAACAGATCTGCCCATTCACAGCTCCAAATTAAAAAGGAGGAGGGTGGGAGAGGAGGAAGGGCAGGAAGAGGGAAGAGAAGTGTGGAGGGTTGTACATTAAAACTGGCGATTACAAAATCCAAGTGTAATGAGAGGAGGGGAAGAGTTAACACTCTAAGCCTCTGAAAGTGACTGAACCCTTGCTCTCACAGGGCAATGGATTAAGTTCAGTTTTGAGGGTTAAGGGTGGGAATCAACAGGTACAAATACAACCATTTTCCTTCCACAATTATATAGGAAAGGAAACAATCTACTTATTCTACTCTCAGTACCTCCCAAATTTGTTTCTAGTTCTTTTGGAATCAAGTACATACATATATCGCACATGACACTGGCAAGATCCTTTCTGGAAAAAACTATTCATGAAAACAAAACCAGAAGGAAAACAGGAGGGGAAAAAAATAAAGAAAAAAGAAACAAACAAACAAAATTAACATAAGATTCGTTATATCCCCAAAGCCTTTTTAGAAACAAACATGATACAAAAGAACAAAAACTAACACAGAAACCACAGGGCTCCAACATCAGACCTTTAAACACTGAGGACAAAACATTGATCATCAAAAGTCATGTTGTTCCAGGTCTTGACATTGTGAAGTCTTGCAATTGATGAACGATTTTCAAAGATGAGTCCTGTATGCTGCAGTGTCATGGCCACTTGTCTCTCAGTTCTCAGCCATGATCACACTTGATGCTTCAAAGCTCTGTCTTGTAATCAACGCGTGATTTTAATATCCTGAAAGTCTATTGTTCTCACTTACAAAAGACATAAGAATCAAATTAATACTTTATTATCAAACACTATATACAACAGAGGTTGCTAATAATACAGAATTTAAAGAACATAGCTTTAAGTTTTACTTGTCTTTCCTTTGCCATCCAAGTAAGTACAGTACAAAACAATATTCTAAACTAACACGAAATGTTACCTTGTCTATTAAAGGATACATAGTATCCACTAAACTGACTGATCCCTATTTTCCCTGCTTCACATTGCAATGCCTTTGGCAGCCAGGAGTGCGGGTCACTGGGGGTAAGCAAGCCACCTAGGCTAAGGGAGAATCAGTCCCTCAGACTTGAGCTGCGGCAGGTAAAGGGGAAGGGAGCAGAAATCTCCTTGATTTGCACCAACATCTGCATTTAGAGCATCCAGAGATTCGCAACGCAGCACAAAGCCCATCAGCGTTGATGTACGTGGTACGACTGGGGTTGCCTGATGCCATCAAGTATCAAACTGACAGTGCCTAGAACGCTCCCAGCCACGCCAGGCAGAGCAGGGACCTGCCTCGTGGCTGCATCACTCATGTTTTTCCTCATTGTCACCCAGCAGGGTTCTGTGATAAAACAAAGGGGTGAATTTCACCAGGAGTAACACTAGTGAAGACCCTTTGCTGTGTTTGAACGTACGTCTTGAACTCCGACGTCATTCAGAGACAAGGGACGAAACATGAAGTCACCATTTCTATATTAAATTGGTGCTACCGGTGTGATCACCTGTGATTGCTACGAAATCATTTTAATATGGCTACCTATCATGCAGTATTATCCCTACTCTGGTTAATTTGATAAGGCGCATTTTGATTAAGCGCACCTCATCCAAAGCTTTTCAATTCTTACCTACAGGAAGTATTAGTGTGTGCACCAAGCACATCCACATTAAAGAGAGACAAGTACCAGAGAGCCTGTAATGAGATGACGACTTCCCTCACTGTTTAGACTGCATATATTTATTCCGTGCCCTTCACACTAGAGGAAATTTCCTACATTCCTCCTGTAAGCACAGGTCCTGCATTAATGACCGTGTTGTATGAGATCAGGCAAGCCCAGATAATCGTTTAGCATGCACAAACCTTCCTTTACATCTTAAATTTATTTCCCCCTTTTCTTCCTTTTTTGAATAGTGGGCTGCTTCAACTTCTGGAAAGCTTTTCTTCATTAAAAAAGCCCACAAAGTGGTATCACTCAGTTTTGTTACAGCAGACTTTTTCTTCAGAATTAATAAAGAAACCCCTTGTTTTGCTTGAATGCGCTCCATGTTTTGTTCCATATTGAACATAATTGCCACAGTTTTTGTTAGAAAAGCTTTATTTCAGTCTTGGTCTGATATTTCCCTGATTATGCTTAGCAGTCCAAATTTCATGGCAGCCTAGCCAAAAAATACCCCAAGGCTTGCACTTCCTGGCAAATGACTTTTTAAAGATCTGTGTTAGCCAAGGCCCAGATTCCTTAAACAGGGTCGCTCCTAATTCCATCGAACAAGACAGTCCCATTTCCTAATTGCATCAAGGGTTACCACTTCTCTCACATGTTTAAATAGGACAAGCATATATACTCACTCTCAGCATAAAGTATATCTAAATAATGTATTTTCTATTCTAGTGGATTTTTAAAAAAATATTTTGTTAAGTCTTTGGGAGCCCATCTAGTTTATCTCCGGCTGATAAACACGTTTCCTCTACTCTTCAAACTGTGCTGGAAGGGGAAAAGATAAAAAATCAACACTTGAATCCATATGCCACACTTCATTTCTTTCCCCCCACCAAACAATGCTACTAGACTGTCCTGGCTTCTTCTATGTGTGGTTTATTCCCATGATTGAGGAACTTGCAGGAGAGACAAATCAAGAGCACACTGGAGATCCTGTGTCCCAAACACGTTTCCTCTGGCCTCTGATGTCCTCTCTTAGCATGTATAAACACCCAGAGTAGCATCCAAGGCTATCAGCTCCTAAGTCAGCGCTGGGGAAGGTCACTTTATTCTCAAAAGCGCCTCTGCATTTCAAGAAAAAAATTGTAGCACCACGGTGATTTGTTTTAAAATAAAATAATCCGGTGTGCATTATCCCCTTAAAACGAAATAACAGAGGCACTCACACCCCCAGTGAAGTTTCCTAAATCTGACCTTGCCTGCTGTGTGCTAACCTTTCTAAATATTAACTTCTTCCTCTCACCAAAGACAGCATTTCTACTCATGAGCACAAATTTTACCGTCAAAGAAGTTTCAAGACAGTCCTGTAAGAAACATTGTCTTCCCCTTTCAGAAGCCTGTTCATTTAGAAACTCCTGGAGGAAACAGTGTTATATTATACCTATTCTTAATATTTCCCCTCCAGTCCTGACACGGTGACACGATGCCTTGCATGATCATCTTAACAGTGCTGAACGAGAAGGCATAAATATTGTATCAGAGAGAAAAACTCTCCCAGGCTTTCACTCACTTCCCTTATCCTTCACTGACTGTGTCTGCCACTATTCTTTCTTGTCCATATACGGATGACACAGTGAGCTAACAGAGGTGACTTCTTAAAGGAGAATGCAGAAGAAAATAAGAATCACTAGTGTCACTATTATAGTTTGGCATTTTCATTTGGAGTCCTTTTATTTATATGGAGGGGTTAAGAAAGTCACAGGGTAGGTAGGGATGGGTGCTGAAGCTAGTTATCCCCTTCAAATTTTTGCTGAGTTCAGGCTAAAAGGGAGAAGAAAAGGGAAAAGGGAAAAATAACAATTTGACATCTGCAAAAACAATAAAGTCCCTTTCCTGGGATGAGCAGTTAGGTGGATCTTTGATGTTCCAAGACCCTGATATTTTCTGCGACAGGTTGCCGGAGCATACTGTGCTATAATATCAAAAGCATTGCCAGGAGGAACAATAGAGTTGCCAAAAGCCGGCTGGGTATCCTTGGTGTCTGTGCCGCGTTCTCACCACGGGATGGCTCGGCTGACTCATGTACGGTATCATCTGTTCAAACAGAAAGCATACATTCCAATGAGATTTTGCATCCTTAATAAACTCTCACTGAGCCGACAACTGTAAGTAGATTTCAGTGCCTTTATGAAATAGGGCAATGAACCTTGTGCTGTCATTGACTTTCACAAGCGTGTAATACCTCATTATGTAACCAACTTGGGGCCAAGTCCTGCTTTTCTTACTGGCAAAACTCCCACTGAAGACCAGAGGAGCAGAAAGTAAGTCTGATTTCAGCAGATTGAGGAATGAAAGATTCCTCTTCTAATAAAACACTGTAGCTCTAGCATTGGATGGCTCATTAGATAGCAATGTCAATAGGGAGGCAGCTAAATAAAAACACCTGATTTTCAAAAGGGCTTGAAGGGGAGTTGCATGTGCTCAGAATTAATTTCACAGTTAATCTCCTTACTGAGTTACAGATTTTGGCTCCTGAATTTGAAATCACAGTCTGTAAGATCAAGCATATATTCCACTTCCACACATAAAATTTCCACTGAAATATACCATGCTTGGGGATGCGCAAGGGGTAGAGGACCAGTCTCCCTTTCCTGAAACAGAATTTTAAAGGCTAACATATGACAACCTCCGATTTTATAGAACGCGTACTCAATCTGGAAAACCTCATAGGTAACAGACTACTTTTTATGGTGCACAAAATACAGATTTACATATATGCTGCTAAAAGTAATGAAAAAAAGAACCATCTGAGTCGGGAAAACATGCTTATACATTAGCGGCAGAAGAGAACGCAGTAGCAAATACTAAATTTATGATACCAAACAAAGCTCTGTTTAGTTTTTGTGAACTAAAGATCAACTTAAAGCCACACTTTGTAATATATAAAAAGGTAGGTAAAGTCAAGTTCAACTTCAGTGTTGTTATAGGTGTGGTATTTTGCTCTGCAAAGCCCTCAATATCCACAGCTATCTAATTTGGCTATTTTAAAAGTAGTATGTCTGAGGCTTGCCATAAAAAGTCAGCTCTGCTTTTTTGGTTTTGAATTTTCTTAGTACTAAATGAATGAAATAAGTGATACCTTTTTAGTAAGTGTGAATTGGCCTCAAAATGTATTCATAAGTTATTTTAGAGTGCCTAAGTTTCCAGGAAAATTAACAGTATCTCACTACTTAGTGTAATAAGCTCCCCCATTTTATGAGATGTCGACATATCTATGACGTATCTGTCTTGTAGCTCCCCTCTCAACAAATTGCACTGCCAGGATTACACTGGGTGAGAACTGTGCAATTCCGATTAGAGGCCCCAAGGAAAGCAGGAGTCAGGACACAGGGATCACCATGCCGCTTTGGCATGGAGCATTTTGCATTACTTAGCTGTAGCTAGAAACAAGCTCCCTCCCCTTCATACCCTTGACACCTAGCACAAAAGCAGGTAGAGCACTTAGCATAATTTAGGTTAATAGGCTCTTCAGCCCCAGTCCGGTTACACAGCAAGATGCACAGTAAACTGGATTAGCAATTTATCGTATCTTTTTTTCCAGCACTAATTGATGCTACAATCACATCAGGCTTATCAACAGGTCTTCAGTGCTGCTCAAGGCACAAGTATGAAAAGCAAGCACGGATCAGCTGTAAATACGTTCACATTTGTAAGAAAGAGACACCATCAGATGGAAGTTCCGCTGCTCCTCAGCACGCAGGTCACGGAGACCCACCCAGGCGCTTTGGCCCTGAACAAGGCCCCAGTATTTCTCCTCCAGAATTATTCCAAAGGAATCTAAAATTTCTGTGAATGCTGGCTACTGAAAAGTGCCAGTTCCAGTGGCTGTCAGTACCAAAGGCTGTTTCACATTTCGCTTCCGAGTTACTTCAGTGACACCACAGTGAGAATACAGTACTTCACAAGAGCAGCTTCACAATTAAATCATGCTCTAAGAAGTTACAGGGAAAAAATATCCCTGTTTTAACTGTCAGCCCTACCACCTTCCACATATTTACAGTCAGCTCTTCCCAGTCTGGAAACATTTACTCATTGCTGATGAACTAAAACTACAGAGGAGAATGATGTGCATTACTTTCTACCTCTTGCATCATCAATAGAATTGTAAGTAAGTCTGAATTTGCAACATTGAATGTCAACAATTTTGTCCTAATTACATCCATGAGTCAGCACTAAAACACAATAGGGCAGAACTAGTGTAGAGCAGTAATAAATCCTCATTCTCTTTGACTGTCAGATACTGCCACAACTGGTACACTGGCTACTGCTAAAAACACTCAACGAGAAAAGCCCTAAAATAAAAATATTACTTCTCTTAAATGAAAAATATGGAAATCTTCTGTGATGCCATTTTTGTAAAGCCATTCTTCACAGAAGAATTAATTTTCATGTAACATTAAGGGGTTCCTTTCAAGAAATCATTTGGGTTTTCTGTCAATGCAGTCCCAAGGTTTCTGCACTCGTATATTAAAGCACACAATTCATCTGTGGTTCGCAAAATCACTTTACAAATATTATTTTCCTTGAAGGTGCAGAGTTATAACACTGCACAATCTTTAATGCTTGGGGAAAAGGTTTTGCTTTATTTTAAACACTGAAGGCAAGTGATGAAGAGGCCAAAATTTCTGAGTAAAATCTGGAAGGTTGCTGCTAAAGACTGGGAAAGCTACCAGTAATTAGAAAAAATTATTTTGACAGCCATGGATTTTCCAGACCACATAGCTTTACATCATGTGCTTCAGGTATATTTTTTCCAGCTATGCACAGCTGCATTTTTTGTTTAGAGACTTTTAATTTTTATTATTAAGGAGGGAGGGAAGAGGAGGACAGGAATAGGGCCAATTACTTTCATCACTTCTGAAACAAGTGTGATCCCTCTAGACCAGTTTCCTACAAATTCCTGAACAAAACCAGTGAAATTACAATGGTTCAAAAATCACACAAATAGTGATTTTTAGAAAGAAGGTGACAGTAAGTAATCTGCTGAACATGACCCTCCTGCCTCTCAATTCTTCTGTCTACTGTAGAAGAAGACAGTGGCAGGCTAGGGGAGAGCACAGAAGCAGAAAATGCATGTCAGCAGCAGGTAAATTAGTACACGACACAGATCACATGCAACAAGATCCACCAAGGCAGCAGCAAGTCCAACAGCCTAGTAACAGAAAAGTGTGACAGCAGTTGGCAGATCTGGGAATGATTATCTATCTGCTCCAAATAACAATGCAAATATACACTGATGTCAGGAGTGGGAACTTTATGGTACCAAACCTTCTCATTAAAGCTATTATTTCCTCCTGGTAACACAAACAGAATTTCATCTCAGACTGCAACATGCTCTTTGTATGATTTTGGTTCCCTGGTTTGCCTGCTGCTTACTAACGATATGCTTTTGTGATGGTGCTAGTTAGGTACAGCCGTTCAACGGGAATTGAGCAGCACTGCTGAAGAAAAGTGCTTAGCAAGTTCCCTAATATCAGGCATTTGTTACTCGGATGATCTCTTTTGCAAACCACTAACAGAAGAAACACACATTAATTAGCCCATGTTCACCAAATCACAAGATGTAAAAAAAGTGCATTGAGTTTCTAGTTTCATACATTACCTAGAGATAGGGAAAGGTCATCCTAATGCCTTCTGGAGAAGAATGCTGTTAATAAATGTACCAATGTAT